AAATTAAACGAGATTCAAATAAAATGTCAAATAAGAAAAGAGGATTTCTTTTTCTATGTTTTTTTTTTGGTAAGTTTAAAGACAAAATTAAACAATTAAAAAGGATTGATGAAAAGATGTGCAATGTCATTATAATTCCGCGACCTTGTTGTTTTTCAGTGTGTGGCAGGGTAATTCCGTTTTTGTCCAGGCCATCTATAAGAGTTGCACAATCCACTCATTCTTCAACTCCAAAAGAAGTTATCATTAAATGGTCAATTTGATCAGGGGAAGGAATTGCCGACTGTCCCAACTCTTCAATATAAAAACAAATATTCAAACTTCAAAAAAAAAAAAAAAAAAAATTCAACCCGCAAACCAGTAATGAGTTATGAAACAGAGAAACAAAAGTAGCAAGAAACTATAGTAAGAAAAGTAACACCTTTTTTTTTTTTTTTTTTTTCTAAATATGAAAAAAAGACAAAACAGCAACAATAACAATCAAACTCCATTTCCTCAAAAAAAAAAAAAAAAAAAAAATCAAACTTGATTTACTGACCATACCTCATCCTCAATACAGTCTATCATAAGAAATTTTCTCCGAGGGGATTGTCCAAAAGATTTCCTCAAATTAAGAATTCATGAACTGTCAGTTTTATCATATCTAACATGGAATACATAATGGATTTTGATTAGACATTTAACATTCTCCGAAACTAAAACAAAATGCAAGCTCTGGATTTTAATAATGATAAACTTGGTGCATCAATTTGAATCCTTTCAATGTTGTGACATATATATATACGTGTGTGTGAATGGTCGTCATTTGTTTTCTTGCTAGGAATGGACATAGATAAAATCTCCAACATACCTGCCTTGATATTGCATAAGATATTGTCTTGTTGCAGTGGGTTTATATGAGTAACGATATTATCCAAGATACTGTCCACTATTGTCCCAACATCAGCTATTTTTCTTTTAAACATTTTCGTGGATTGAAAACTCTCAAGATTTCCAAACTTGACGAGCTAGAGTCAGTCATGCCCCGTTTATTTCACCGATTCGAGTTTAAAATTTAAATTTTGCTATATTAAAAAGCTCTTAAAAACAGTCACATCTAACTTTTTTGTTACAGTAAAAAACTCTCACATAAAATCACATCTCAACTTAAATTAAAAACTCGAATTAGTGAACTAAACGGGCCATCAATATTGTAAATTCTGCACATTTAGATGAACTTGGCAGCGTTAGTATTGATACGTATAAGCTTCAATCCTTCATTTTGACTTCCTGTCATTATGTTAAAGACCTACGCCTAAAAGTATGTGGTATCACGCATGATTTATTAGTGTCTTTATGTGTGTGTCAAACGTTAAATTAAATAAATTTAGAGCAAAATATAATGGTTTGGCTTTTAGCTTACTTTCACGGGTAGAAACAGTAAAAAAATATCACTATAACTAAACGATATTACAAAAATTTATCAAATATCTATCACTATTAAAATCCTAAATACAACCAAAATAATAAGAACACCAAATATTAAATAGATGAATTCTTTGATTAAATCTCACTCAAAATAAACAAAGAGAGAAAACAATAAATCAGCTACTTTTCTTATTATAGTTTCTTGCTACTTTATTTCTCTCTTTTCTAACTCATTGGCTTGTGGGTTTAAGAATTGTTTTGAAATTGAAGAGTTCGGACAAGTTGCAATTCCTTCACGATTAAAATTGAACATTTTCACCGATTCGAGTTTAGAACTGGAATTTTATTACAGTAAAAAACTCTTAGAAACAGTCACATTTAATTTTTTTGTTACTGTAAAAAACTCACATAAAATCACATCTCAATTCAAATAAGTGAATTAAACGAGCTCATAACTTCTTTTAGAATTGGAGAATCATGAGATTGGGCAACTCTTATAGATGGTCTGCTTTGGAGTTGTCATCCCACGACAATATCTGTTTCCCCAAGTTCCATGTTCCAAAACAAGTGCATAAAGGAATGATGGTCCTCTCATATTTTGTTTTTCTAAAAAATGGCAACATACTTATTGAGACGTTTAGCCAGTGTTGTTGTTGACAACAAATGGCAACATAGTTGGTGTGAGCGTGTGAGGTTTAGAGCCAGTATTGTTATTGAGAAGTTTCTTCCTGTTAATTGTCAGAACAGGCTACGGCTGATTCTGTTGTCCTTGATAACTTGATACGGATCATGGATTAGCAATTGTTTCAGAAGTAGGGAAATCTTTGGACATTGACAATAACTATATTATTATGTGTAGATTCTTTGCGAGAAGTTATCGGATAACGGACGCCTGCCGTCGTGTTGCAATTCTCCTCGCATGAATTGCTGGCGTCGTGACTTGAAAGTGCTAGAGATGTTTGGTTCATAGATTAGAACCATGAGATTAGAATCATTTTCGATTTACGTGTATTTTTTGTGAGAGAAAATACTATAGCGAACTACGAACTATGATTCGAATCAGTAGATGAATCCCCCCAACCAAACAACCCCGAAAAGATTGAGAGCGTCAGAGGAATTGTAGATGAGCGACTTCTTCATTCAAATCTGTTGTTAGATACATTGCCATCGGTTACAAGACATAATGAAGTAGGCTTCAAGTTGGAGTAGGGGTTTTGAGATGACCTATGCTATTTAAAGAGTTATTAAGATTCCGTTCACTTCACCGATTCGAATTTAAAATTCAAATTTTACTTTTAGAATTTGAGTTTTATTACAGTGAAAAATTTTCAGAAACAGTCACATCTAACTTTTTTGCTACAGTAAAAAGTTTTTATAGAAAATCACATCTAAACTCGAATTAAAAACTCGAATCAGTGAACTAAACAGGCCATAAATCTAATTAGGTTGTTTATTTATTTATTTTCTAATTAAGGGTTATTTATTTGACGAAATATGCTACTTTCAGATAACAGAGATGTTATGTTATTTATTTATTTATTTATTGCCTTGGCAAATAAGATTAGTATTATTGAGACCCGCGAATTTATTATTGGTTGTGCAATTAGGTTGAGTTTGTGATATTATGCACAACACCACTTATGGTCTTGGCTTGACCCCAGGTCAGTTGCTGTTGTCGTAAATGGGTTTCTACTCAGATCTCCCCAAAAAATATTTTACCTTTTTGTATTCAATTTCTGATCATGTAATGGACAAAAATTGAAGGGGATATTTATCTTTTTATATATTTTAGGTTTATGAAAAAATACCTTCAGTTTTTATCTATCAAATATATGTCTTTAAATTCGTTTTTATTAATAAAATATCCTCAACTACAAATTATGATAAATGGAAAAAAAAATTGTAAAACACTTAAAAAAAAACAATTTCAACTCATAGTCTTGAGCACAACAATGACCAAAATGCCTCAAAATAGCTTTTTTTGTGTGTTTTTTTTTTAAATTTTTGTTGGATAAAATTAATTTTGTATCCTTTGTTATTTGAGAATATCTCAAAGTATACTGAGTTCTTAAGGTACATTCACTAAAAAAAACATCATTTTAATACTTTGAAGGTAGTTTTTAGAACATAAGATGTCTAAACGGGCTTTCTCGTTTAAGATTTTATCCGGTAGAGAGGCTCTATTAGTATGGCTAATTTTTGACAGTTAGATTTAGTCAAAATCATATAAGAATATATATAACATACAATTTATAACACAAATATGACAGCTGAAGGCTCCATTAGCATGGCCAGTTTCTAATAGTTAGATTTGGTCAAAATCATATCAGAATATATATAACGTACAATTTATAATACAAATCTAACAGTTGTAAAAAAACTATTGATAGTTTGTTTTTTATGGTCCTATAATAAAAACTCCCTTAATGAAATAGAAATCATAGCCTAAATCACATCACATTCTATAAGATATCAATTGATCTGATCTCAATCAATTAAGAAAAAGGATACTTGAGATCTCACCTCTGAAATGTTTCCGAATTTCTCTATTTGAATTCTCTTTGAACTCTAATCGTAATTTGTTGGAAACGAATACTTAATCAAGACTTTCTTCAATAGCCCCTCTTGCTGGTAATACTAATTTTTAAGCTATGCAGCATAAATAATTTTTGATACATATTTAACTACTAAAAAATAAAGAATTATGGATAGTTCATTTTTTTCTAATTGTACTAGAGAAACTCCCTACTGAACAGAGAAAGAAAGTTTTAAGACATATTCCAGAAAAATCCTTTACAATTAATGATTCCAATTAATATTTGTTTATTAAGAATCAATGATTATTAATATACTAATATCCAAATTTTTATTTATTGATATTATAACTAATTACTAGTATACTAATGACGATTCATTAACATACCAATTAATTATTAATATATTAATTATTATTCATTATGATACTAATTAATTAGTAATATATTACGTATTATTAATATGTTATTAATAATTATTACTAATTAATTATTAATTATGTCATATGCTGCTTAACGATTATTAATATATTACGTACTAATATATTACGTATTAGTGTTTATCAAACAATTCAATATTATTTCTCAATTATTTGTCTAATTTTAATATTTAAAATAATATCTAATCAATCTAATTGTACCACATTATTTAAAAATTAAAATATAATTTTAACTAATTTTTTCTTACTTTAATATTTAGATTTATTAAATGTTATATTCGTGATTAGTTAGACACTAATTAAAATAAAAAAATAGCCACAAATTGAGTTATATTGTAGTTTTAATAATTATATATATATATATATTTCACATACTCTTCCACATACCCTTTCTCTTCCTCCCCTCGATGTCACATGCGCTTCTTCTTCTCTTCTATCAAACCCTGGATAAACTAAAACTATAAATTCAGACCCACCCCAAACAAACCCTAGGGTTTTCTCTCTCAACCCACAAAAACCCTAGCCTGAAATCACAATCACATTCTATAAGAGATCAGTTCATCTGATTTCAATCAATCAATAAAGAGAAAAAAAAAAAAATCTATAAGAGATCAGTTCATCTGATTTCAATCAATCAATAAAGAGAAAAAGAAAATTACAAAAAAGACAAAAAATTCTAAGGTAAGCTCTCACCTCTCAAGACGCCTCCGAATTTATCGTTCGCTCTCTGAATCCCCTTTAAACCCTGATAGCAAGAATCGTAATTTGTTGTGAAACGAATACTTAATCAGAGCAAGAAAGTTTTGAGGAAAGCAAAAATTAGGATTTAGAAGGATTTTTTTTTTTTTTGGGTTTTTGACTATCCATGGCCGATCTCGAAAAGGCAATACTCATACTTTTCGATGAATCCGGAGCGGTCGATTCGGAGTTGAAACTAAAGGCAAAGGAATATTGCGAAAAATTTAAGGAAGAACCGGCAATTTGCAGAATTTGTATCGAAAGGTTGTGCTTCTCTAACCTAATTCAGGTCCAGTTTTGGTGCTTACAGACTCTCCACGATGTTATTCGGGTCGGGTACTCGTCGATGAGCCAAGACGAGAGGTATTTGATTAAGAAATCGGTGTTTTTGATTGCGTGTTTCGAAGGCCTTGATGATCATCACAATGCTGTTAGGGTGTTACAAGGTCCTGCGTTTATAAAGAACAAGCTTGCTCAGGTTTTGGTCACTTTGATATATTCTGAGTACCCTTTGATTTGGTCATCTATGTTTGTCGACTTTTTGCCTCATTTGAGCAAAGGGGCTGCTGTGATTGACATGTTTTGCCGGGTTTTGAATGCTTTGGATGTTGAATTAATTAGCTTAGACTACCCAAGAACGCCCGAGGAATTGGCTGTTGGCGGGTTGGTGAAGGATGAGATGAGGCAGCATTGTGTTCCTCAGATTGTTAGAGCTTGGTTTGATGTCATATCCATGTACAGAAACTCTGATCAAGAAGTTTGTACAAGCGTGTTGGAATCCATGAGGAGGTACGTTTCTTGGATTGACATTGGCTTGATTGTGAATGATGCGTTTATCCCTTTGTTGTTTGAGTTGGTTTTGGTTGATGGGTTGTCTGAACAACTGCGTGGCGCTGCGGCCGGGTGTTTGTTGGCAGTGGTTTCGAAGCGAATGGATCACCAAACGAAGCTTTCTCTTTTGCAAAGTCTTCGCATAAGGCGGGTTTTTGGGCTTGTTAACAAGGATTCGGATTCGGAGTTGATATCTAGCATAGCCGCGCTTCTAACAGGGTATGCTGTGGAGGTTTTGGAGTGCTTTAAGCGGTTGAATTCTGAGGACGCAAAGGCTGTCTCAGTGGAGCTTTTGGATGATGTTTTGCCCTCTGTGTTCTATGTAATGCAACATTGCGAGTTGGATTCGACTTTCAATATCGTTCAGTTTCTTTCAAGTTATGTTGGCACTATGAAGAGTCTTTCCCCATTAAGGGAGAAGCAGCTGCTTCACGTGGGCCAGATATTGGAAGTGATTCGTTCCCAGATACGCTATGATCCTATGTACCGCGGTAATCTTGATACGGTGGATAAGATTGGGAGAGAGGAAGAAGATAGGATGGTTGAGTTCAGAAAGGATATGTTTGTTCTGTTGCGTTGTGTGGGTCGTGTGGCTCCTGATGTAACTCATGTGTTTATCCAAAATTCATTAGTTAGTGCTGTTGCCTCTCCATCAGACAGGAATGTTGAAGAGGTGGAAGCTGCACTTTCTCTTCTCTACGCACTTGGTGAGTCAATGAATGATGAGGCTATAAGAACTGGTAGTGGACTCTTGAGTGAGTTGGTGCCTATGCTTTTATCTACGAGGTTTCCTTGCCATTCTAGTAGGTTGGTGGCACTTGTGTACTTGGAAACAATAATAAGATATTTGAAGTTTGTTCAGGAGAATACGCAACATATTCCCATGGTGTTGAGTGCTTTTCTTGATGAAAGGGGTATACACCACCCAAGCATTAACGTGAGTAGGAGGGCGAGTTATCTATTCACGAGGGTTGTGAAATTGTTGAAAGTGAAGCTTGTTCCTTTCATAGAGACAATTTTGCAGGTAGATGAAATGAAATTTCTGTTGAATCCAACTCCTACCTTCTTACATTTCTCAATGTATACGCTGAATACATTGCACTGTCTATTAATTGGCCTTGTGCACTTTCCATTCTCATTTTTCTTTTCTCGTTTAGACAGGATTAATACGTTATCTATACATTTTCCCACCTTTTCTTATCTTTCAAAATATTATATGATGACTGTTTCAGAGCTTACAAGACACGGTTGCTCGCTTTACAAGTATGAATCACACATCAAAAGAACTTTCGGGATCTGAAGACGGCAGTCACATTTTTGAGGTATACTTTGTCATTCACGTTACTGAACTTGTATGTCTCCAATACGCTTGTATTCATGCATTTGTGAAGTGGGTTGAGTTTTTTTTTTTTTTAAATGCTAATGCAGTCTTCAATTAATTTCTGAATAAACTCTTCACAGGCAATTGGTTTACTAATTGGGATGGAGGATGTGCCACCTGCAAAGCAATCTGATTATCTTTCTTCTTTGCTCACTCCTCTTTGCCAACAGGTTATGGTTAGATTTTCAGTTTGGAAGTTTATAATTTCTTGCGGGTCTTCTTCATTACCTCCAAATTTTTGTTTTGCTTTGATTCAGTGTCATCAAAGAGACACAAGTTTTCTTACATTGACTGTTTTCATCCAGGTAGAGGCATTGCTGATGAATGTCCAAGCATTGACTCCGGAAGAGACACCTGTAAAACTTACTCATATACAGCAGATAATCATAGCAATTAATTCTCTCAGCAAGGTTTCTTTCTGTTCGTTTTTCTTCAGTTTTTGTTTAATTCTTTTCTGCTTTTATTTATTTTCTTAAAGTTCGTGTCATTTTTTATGTTGTCATTCTTCTTCTTCTCCTTTTGTTACTGCTGTGAATTGAAAATGTATAAAAAAATTTTCAACAAGAAATGAAACAACAAAAGGCTTTATGATTTTGGTTCATTACTTAGACTCCCTTCTAGGATGTCCTGACTCTATGTGCCATCCAGGGATTCAGTGAGCGTCTTGTAACTGCTAGTCGCCCTGCAATCGGTCTCATGTTTAAGCAGGTTTGTATGTTCTCTTGTTTATCCTTGTTATTCCTGGTTGGTGATTGAAATTTTTAATTGATCGAAGCAGTTGTTGATATGAAATGGTTATAGGAATTGTTTCATTGTTTGTCATTAAGCTGAAAATTTTCCCTGCTCTCTTTGTGATCCAGACATTGGATGTTCTGCTCCAAGTGCTTATTGTATTTCCAAAGATAGAGCCTTTGCGAATCAAGGTAAGAGTTGAGGATAGTAGAAGCACTGGCACAATAACTGGGTCTTTATCGATGCATCTATCATCTGCTGATACTTTTTGTGCTTTCAGGTAACGTCATTTATACACCGCATGGTGGACACCTTTTCCCTATCTTCCGAAGGCCTTGGAGCAATTGCTTTCTGAAAGTGAGGTATGAAACAATAACAATGTGACATATGACTGCTTTTCCCCCCTGAAACATTAGATTAAGAACCAATTTTCGGAATTCTACTTTATTTCCATTTGTAATGAATATATTTGTAGAAGGCTTTGCAATAACAATGGTGAAAGATACAAAGGGATGGCAGTAGGGTTGCATTAGCTTTTGACTCCCTCTGGCTTGCCCTTTCTAACAGTTGGTAATGGTTTGGATTGGCGTTTGTAGATATCTTTATGACTGAAAAGATCCTCTAATTTATCAATTATCACGTTCTCCTGGGGTTCTCCATGTTTGGGCTCTCTTTTTTTTTTTCCTCCCCTCCTTTTGTACGAGCAAAGAGCAAAGTTGTTTGGTGACATTTATGCAAGTGCAATAGACAATCAAAAAGAAAAAGGAAATGGATAGCAAATCACTTTAACCGTTGTTATTTGTAGGATTTGATTATTTATGCTTCAGTAATTTTTTCCTTAAATTTGGTTCAAAATTGTTTGCTGCAGCCAAAAGAGATGGTTGGTTTGCTCGTATTACTCAACCAACTTATATGCAAGTTCAACACATCAGTCCACGACATATTGGACGAAGTATTTCCTGCAATTGCGGGTAGGATATTGAGTGTCATTCCAAGAGATGTATTTCCATCAGGACCTGGGACCAACACTGAGGTATAGGAATGCTGAAACTATGCAATCAGTCGTTGTATCTAATTGACTGTCTTTTTTCAGACGTATTTATTATCGTTAAATCTTACTGTGTCTTGTCCAACTTTTTGATCAATATTTAGAAGCAAGTGAAGTTAAAACTCTTTATCTTTTTATCTTTTCTTTTTCTTGGTATTTTGATAACCTATGTGTATGTTAAGGCTCCTTGACTTTGCTTGTAGGAAATTCGTGAATTGCAAGAGCTTCAGCAGACTTTCTATACTTTCCTTCATGTGATAGCTACACATGACCTTTCTTCCATTTTTTTATCTCCAAAAAGTAGGGGCTGCCTGCATCCAATAATGCAGTTGCTTTTGTTCACATCTTGCAAGCACAAGGATATTCTCGTCAGAAAGGTTTCATACCTTATTAATGATCACTATGATATGATTCACTTCAACAGAATTGTCCCTGACTTTTTAGTGTTGAGCAATCATAGTCTGAATCTGTTTCTTTTCCGTGACTTAGGCATGTGTTCAGATATTTATTAGATTAATCAAGGATTGGTGTGCCAAGCCTCTTAGTGAAGAAAAGGTGAGTCCTGTCGTTAATTACTTTGGTTATCTTGAAACTTGATTAACATACATTTCTTATTGCAGAACCGTTCCTTCTTTTTCAGGTACCTGGTTTCCAGAATTTCATAATAGAGAACTTCTCGACAAATTGTTGTTTATATAGCTTGCTTGAGAGATCCTTCGAGTTTCGCGATGCAAATACTGTAAGCTTAACATTATTATTAGTGTTTGACTTGTTCTTGATGAAATTTGATGTAGTATTTCTATTCTTAGTTGCCACTAACCAGTCATTTGTTGTTTCATTTGCTCATGTTTTGGCATGATAACTGATAAAAGAGTTCTTCCAGTGTCTATTCATTTGATCTCATTTAGAATGACATTAGTATTTCTAGTTTCCGAAAAAGAAAAAGAAATGCGTCGGAGGGACATAATGAATTCTGTTCTTTGGGGTTCAATACCAGTTGGACAATATACGATAGATGAAGCAATCTGATGTCATAATATGTTGATGCCTATTATAGAATATGTTTCATGCTTTCGGTGACATACTTACGGTTATGTTTTACTTTAATTCTCTTGTTTCAGTTTGTTTTGTTTGGAGAAATTGTGTCAGCTCAGAAGGTCATGCACGAGAAGTTTGGCGATGATTTTCTGGTTCATTTTGTTTCAAAAGGTCTTTCAGCGGCACATTGCCCTCAGGATTTGGCAGAGCAGTATTGCCGGAAGCTGCAGGTAGCATGATGCTTTAGCTTATACGGAAACATGTTTGTTTTTCCCCTCCTTTTATTCAGCATTGTATATGCTTGTTTAGAAATTTGCTTTGGCTAGAGTGTTTTACGCGATCTTTTCCCCCCTAAAAAAATAGTATTCTGACTAACCTGGCTGCTGTTTTCTCTAATATCACTCTAAATGGTACTAGGTGATACTTTTTTATTTTGTTTTGGGATATTCTTGCAATTTTTTAAAGTTGGAGACATACACAAATAATCTGTTCCTATTAAGATATAATTGAAGGGGGGGCAAAACACCAAGTGCATATTCCTTTACGCAAATCCTTTATAGTCTATAAAACGCAAGTCACATCGATGATTCAGCACCTATTGGTTTGGGCTGTTGGTTTTGAAATATCAACACTAGCAACTTAAAAGTGTGAGTTCAATCTCCGTTTCAAATGTTTCAAGACTTCTTTTGTAGAACTTGTCTGTACGTATTTGATTATAACAAAAAATTTCTAGGTTTTTACTTTTCTAGTTATGTATATTGCTTAGTATGACTCAGTACTGAGTATTGGGTAATGCTCTAATTTGCCCTATTCTCTGATTCACTTGTTTGTTTGTCTTGCAGGGTAGTGATATTAAGGCATTGAAATCATTTTACCAATCGCTTATTGAAAATTTAAGGGTTCAGCATTTCAGCAGAATGGGAGCCTTGTTTTCAGATAGCAGTGTAATTGTATACAAGATGACATTTTCTCCGAATGGCTTCTGTTACTGTTTTGTGCTGTATCATGGCCATGCAATTTTGTTCGCCAAAGGTAACTACAGCTGTTATCTGGTTCTCTGTTTTGATCTTGCAGTGTTCAATAAGAAAATTTTGACATCTTTAGAAAACCTTGCAGGGTTCTTCTCTGTATATATCATTTTTGTTTTTCGGCTATCTTTCGAATGAGGTATAGCGCTATCTTTTACTTCAAACCAACTGTGATGAGTTTTTGCTCCTGAATACTTGTAAATTTTTTTTTCTCATTTTTTGCCTTCTTGTTTGTGACAGTTGTAAATTTAAGGAGGAATTTTGTTTATGTTCCGCCACATCCATCATCAATTTTGAGCTGCTTATTCTGAGTTCAAGGTTCTTGGGTTGTCTATATTTTTCCTTTTCTACCCCCACATTTGATGTATGCATTACCTTTTTATCAATTTAATTTTTTTTTTTTATAAAATCATTGAGTGTTTAATTTAATTCATTCTGATAGGATTTACTGATTCACTGTTTGAAGATCCTTAGACAGATGATGATTTTGGCTGTTGTTATCTTTTGTCTTGAAAGTAGTTTTTATTCTATCAAAGATAATGAAAAGAGAAAAAATAGGCTTCACCTATTTCTTCCCAACTTTGCTTTGCTTGTTCTAGTGTCCAGAGGTAACTGAAATATGGTATGGTTGTATCGCAATCTGCTGAGCTACTTAGAGATGTAAATTGTGCTCGTGCGATCTAGGCTTGAAAAGTTTAGTCAAAATTAAGCTAGACGGAGATGTTTGGTTGGAGAATTCAAACAATGATTTGAATTATAATTCATAGTTCGTTATAGTGTTTTCTCTCATAAAAAATACATGTAAATCAAAAATGACTTTAATCACATGATTCTAATCTATAAACCAAACGTAGATATAACGATTTTTAAAATATTTTATGAATAGTAAAACTACGCAATTATTATTATAATAATTTCCACGTTTTATGCTATAAATTACTTGGTAATTATTATAATATTTTAATTAGTTATGCTATATGTTTAACTCGCCGGTCCTACTCAAGGTCGTAGGCATGCTTCAAACTAGTGTTGTGTCTACCTAAGTTACATAATAACCCCCTCGAGCACTTCATTTTTTATAAATTTTGTTTCGAATGTTGAAAATTTGGTTTATTATGGCACAATTCAAGCTAAAGGAAAAATAATAAAATGAATGAATGTGTATGATAGCTACTTAAATTTATTTTTTGGTCATTGCAAACTATAAAAAATAATAATATGGAAGTAAATAATAACTATTTTTACGTTCGTCTCGACTCATTATGCTTAAAAGGTCGTATCGTGTTTAACTCGTATTTATAGTGTTGGGCTAGTAGCCATGACTTTTTCATGCTGTGTCATCGTGGTTATCGAATGGCTCAACTTAATACACATCTATAGATTTATTTAGGAGGAAGAGGCCAAGCAGTGTTAGGTTGAGATGTAGACTTCTAGATTCGGCTAGTAATAAATGATAGAACCCTTACTTTTGTGTCTTTGCTATAACAAAAATCTAACTATGGAAATGATAAATCATAACTGGGTTGGTGAAATTAAACATCACCGTTTCCTCCGAAAAAAAAAAAAAAAAAAAACATTAAACATCACTGAGAAAATGATAAAACAATACACATTAATCTCAAAACGTTTTTGTGGTCACCATACGTACTCGTCCTTCGAAATCCTTATGGTCGCTGTGGAAGATGATGTAACCAAGATTCTCTCCTTATTGGCGCGGGACTAACTATTTCTTGTCGTTTGGTGCCATCACAATTTTCCTTCATAATTTTGTAGAAAAATTTCTTGTCCATATTCCTTCCGACCAAGTTCTAGAAATTCAAATGAACTTGATCATCCATAACAATTAGCAAGAGGTAATTTAGGATTAATTTCATTTCATGGAGTCAAATCATGTCAAGACATATTCAAAATCAGATTAATATCATCTCATTTCTCTTATGTTTCGTGTTTGTTAAAGATTTGTACACATAAGCAAGGTGGAAGTAGAGCAATCCTTTTACATGTGAAAAGGTTGTCGTTTTTTTGAGGTCGGCTTTAATGAAAAGTAGACAAGGAAATCTTTGCCCACTAAATCCTCAAAGAGGTCGTTATCAAATAACTTTTCTTATTTATTTATGTCAAATTAGTAACGTTCTTATTTATTTATCATTTCTTTTTGAATGTCATTTAAAATGATGGTGGATAGATTTTTGCTCATCATGATTTTCTTTTTGTTCGTTTTCAAACAATTCCTCTTGGAGAACGCAGCAGCTACACAATTTGACCACAAGGCAATATGAGAAAAGAATTGTTAATTTATGAATCAAAATCCGGTGAACATTTTCTAGCATTTCTACAACTTTAATAATTACTTCAAACCTCGTTTTTGATTTTCCAAATTTTTATTCATTTGTTCAAATTGTGTATTAGTTTACAAATCGATATAATTGGAAGTTCATTCACCATCTTGCATATCTCCTAAAGACTTTTTTCGGATTTGAAAGAGAAAATAAAGAAACAAAATGGGTTGGTGTTTACCAATGTAATGATTTTGTGTACTAATGTGAAGGGTTTTCTCAAAGTTTACTATAAAGCTTTTCAAAATTGCCGAAAACGAGTATTGAAATAGAATCGTCGTTTGCTTACAAAGGGAAAAAGAAAAATGCAAGTGGCCTTGTGAAAACAAGAAATATTCTTGTAGCCTAAAACAAATGATGGCTCCTTTTAAATTTCTATAACATTGAACATGTTTTCAAGGAACATTTTTTTTTTAATGATAATGATAATGATGCCGTTTGGGCAAAATTTATAATATCTTCTTGTATGGCTGCAATTGGTTAGATCTTGCAAAAGTTCAGCCGTTAAAAAAAAAAAAAGAAAAAAAAGAAAAAAAAAAAAAGCAAGCGTGTCGGCCGCAGGCAACAAATTTATATATGCTTTTTGTATGCACGTATAATTTGTGTGTCCGTATACCTATATATAGATTTATGCATATGCATTGTATATTACATGCATACATATATTTAATTGTGGTCAGTGGACACACAAGTTTATCTAATCATCAACACAATTAATTTGTTCTACCAAAAAAAAAAAAAACCCACAATTAATTTGTTGTCCGACTGAGATTGGAAATAAACTATTACTAATTATGCATCTATCTCTCTCTCTCTCTAAAACTGAAACTAAGTTTACGGTAAATATCTCAGCAAAAACAAAAAGAGAAAATAATTAGAAGGAGGGTCTTTATACGGCATGGTTTTTATATTGATAGTCATGATTTTAATTCGTTAGATCTTATTAAAATCACTTAAGAATAGAAAAATTTACAGAATAAATAGTTTATGATACAAAATCCTATTGATAGTACTTTTTTTAAGTTTCTACAGCAGAGATCTCCTTAGAAGTAGAGAAAAATATATAATCTAGCTACGTGAAGAAAATAAAGAGACGTATAAAGATTTTTTTTTTATTATTCTGTTTTCTATGAGTTTCATCTTCTAATGATCACTCCATATCGGGAAAGATTAAAATTACGGATTTTTTTTTTTAATGAATTTGAAATTCCTCAACTGATCTATTTCTTTATCTTTTTGCTCTTATTAAACAACCATAGATTTTAATTTGCTGATCCCTTCACCCCGCACTCTGTTTACTTTTCCTCCTATCAAGCAAGCTCAAAAAAGAATGAAGCTTAGGTCATAAATACTGGTCAGCACAAATTCGTCACTCCAAAACAGGAAAGACCTAATCCAATTTCTTAGAAAATTACACAAGATAAAACTTGGCAATATTTTCTTCGCCATAAAAAGTCAAGCAAGAATGTTGAATTTGTTGCCATAGGCCCCGCTTGACCGCGGAGTCTATTAATGTTTGTTTGTTTTTCCTTTTCAATTGAACGATCCATGATATTTCAGCCTATGGCCTAGTAATTCTTGCGCACATTTTCAGTAGAAATTAGGTCATATAATTATTGTCTTTTGTTAATATTTCCTAATTATCAGACATGATTTTTCTCGAGATTGATATTTGTAAGGTTTATTAACAATTCGCCATGTGTTCATTTTTGTGACGACCCTCCTTTGAGGCCGCCACTGTTACTAACTTTTTAACTTGTACTTACTGGGGTTTCTTAAAATTTGCGGAACATTTTTTTTTTTTTTAATATAAGAAAGAATACTTTCATAATTTGTAACAATAATTTCAAATAAGTGAATCACTAAATTTCTTAAAGCTTTTCTTAATTTCAGTTAAGATAAAACGTTCTAAAAATATCTTTCAAACAGAGCAGCATTTGAACTCTTATTTCAAATACTCTTTAAAAGCCTTTCTAAAACTAGCCAATTCAATCGGGCCATTTAATTTTGACTTTAAAACGGATTTCATGAGAAATCTTAAATTCAAGTACATCTTAAAGCCCTTTTAAAATCAATCATTTAAATCGTCATGTTTAAAATTTATTTATTTGTTGCATGCTCTGTTGCAACGTTCTAAAACTTAAATACTCAAAACGAGGGTTGTTAGCTACAACCTCAGTTTCCTTAACATACATATGTACCTATACTTTTTAAACATACATGCTTGAAACCTTTAAATCATATATACATATACATGATTTTTCTTAACTTACTGCGGAAGATAACTGCGTGAGCGGTATTCCATTCCCATCTCCACCATTCGTCCGCCGCTTGCCATTGCCCTTCAAGAATTGCTGATAGGTTTCTTACCTACAGCATGAACATATCTGATTGAGCTTTCGCTCAACAAGTAGGAACTATATCTCACAAAATAACTGTAAGTACACATGAATAAATATGCATGAGCTGATTATGCTTAATTATGATGTCTTACCATA